CTCGACTGACGATGCCGGAGAAACGGCCAGAAATGCGGTAAATCCACGTAACAACGCCAAGAATTATGCTAACTTAAGACAAGATGCGTCCAGCCAGATCGCCCTGACAACACGGCAAACAAATTAATGCTAAGGCCAGCTTCTATCGTATGTCTTGAATATGAAAAGTATCCTCGGTTTTGCATTAAAATTTACCCTGACTGAAACCACCTTTAGCCGAAATGGTTAGGGTTGTTTGACCTTGTTTTCGCAACTTGGCCATGCTGGTAGGAAGACTTAGAGGACCAAGGTCAAACAAATACTATACAACGAAAGGAGACTGCGACCACACAAAAAGCCACACCATCTTGGTCTTCATACCTTCGATTTGACCAAATACTTGGCCTCCAGCATAAGCACCAGACGGAGACTTAGCGAACTGTATATGGTCATTAGTAAATGGAGGCAAGTAGGGATAGGTGGGTCATGTATGTGACATGTAATTGAGCCGAGATGAAATGAGTCAGAGAGAATACATGAATACTTTGGGCTCCGTCATTAAGGGCTTTGCTTAACATCCCCTCTTTCTGCATCTTGTGGTGGCCCTTCCAATCTTTCTACAGGCTCACTCAAAGTCAGGACCTACTGAATAATAAAAAATACCATATTTCCAAGCAATTAGGATGTTATATGCTAGCGATTAAGACCAAGACAAAGCTCGCCAAGTCTCGGTCCAAAGCATAATCAGGTCATCGCATTTTTTCTCGACTTAATGTCTTTTGTTTTTATATATGCTTTACACTTTCCCCAACCCGGCAATGACATCAAACACCCCGGGAAAACGGCCTCCCTATGCAACACTGTATACCCTTGAATCTACGCCACATAATTTGCATACACCGACTGCTCTGACATACTACTCACGAGTAGATTTCCTTCATAGACTACCTCTGTTACATACCCCTGTTCCTGTCATTCCACGACAACATACTGGACAATCCACTGGACATGTCGGCCACCAAGTACACTCCAGAGGTTCGCCGTAAGGCGTCAGTGCAGCGTGACATGAACCCGCTCGGCCAACCACTGAGCAAACACACTCCATTCCTGCGAGCCATAGAAGAGGGACGAGTCGTCCTCGGGCAGCCCCAGTCGAGGTGAGCCAAGTCGACGGAGGGACCAGATCGGTTAATCATCTTGACTGATTGTGATGCAATGAGCCCTGAAGACGGGTTCCGCATGCTAAGGAGGGTTTCAGGGCTACATGGTGCTAGTGTAAAATGGGCTCAAAATAAAGGGTAGATCATAAGCTGATCCGACAGCGAACGCAGCACCTTCGGAGGTTAGCACACTGCGAGAATTGACAACGAGAATAGAGCTCAAAGGCAAAAGAAAACATTCGAGGATAATAAAGTCATGTGTTGAAGAGACAAATAGAAATAAGATGTATTCACCCTATTTCGCTTAAGGTGATAAGGAGACTGGTAGTTGAGTTTTTCTCGAAAAACCTGCTTATGAAACGAGAAATAGGAAACTAGAACTTAGCCCCCGAAAATTAGGGCTATTTTAGAGAACATCCAAACACTTGCAGGTCAGACAAATTGTTGCGTTCGCCCTATTTCGAATATATAAAGAAAAAATGAGTTTCGAAAAACGCCTTAGTGATATGCTGTGACATGACTGTCCATTTCGAAGGAAAAGTTGGTTGGAAGAAGTTCGTGAAATGGTCTCACCAGAAACCGAAATGCGATTGCCGCGGGACTAAGACAGTTGGATTGTGCCAGCAAGCCCTCGGCTCACCGTCTTGCAACTACAAAATAAAAAGTCATAGCATAGGCTCAGCGGGTGCTCATCCGCACAATCCAACAATCTCCACTCCGCGGCAATCCTCCTTCGGTTTCCGGTGAGATCATTTTGCGAATCCCTTCCAGTCAACTTTTCCTTCGAAATGGAAAGCCAAATCACAATAATACATCATATGCCGTTTAAGGTGATTAATCGAATTCTCCCACAATCATATGAGTATACCTTACGTTTCCATTGAAGTTCACATGACCTTGCTCTCCAAAAGGTATTCTCATCCAGGCAGGGGGAGAGTGCAGTTTCGACCTTGTCCCAACTGGCCTCATCATCACCACCAGCGGAACTAGAGCACGGGTTGTGTAGTTTGCAGGGCAGATGCGAATTTCAAGGAAGGCCAGGAATTTTCCCATATCACATTCTGTGGTGGGAGTCCTAGGCTAAGTCGAGACTGCAGCTCGCCCTGGATGAGAAGACCTTTTGAGAAGCAAGGCTAAGCGTAAAGTGTAATCATATGATTGTGCGAAAAACCAACTACCTTAAATGAAATAGTGAATACATTTCATATATCTTATCTACTGGTAGTCTCGAGAACCTAATAATAGACAAGAAATATGCAAATTGTTTTAAGGGAAATTGTGAAGATGAGCAGAGCCGCAGAGTGGATGTTTTATATCCAAACTGAATAAATTGAATAACAGAAAAATAGCTAAATTTCGGATGCATTTCTTTCAGCGACAATCCAGAGTGAAAAGTTGTAGCTCGATCTTCTTCTTAGAATGGAAGGATTGAGTTCACAACATTTTGGTGGCGTCCTTGGATTTCGGCACTGGGACCGCCTTTGTGACAAAGGTCTTTCAGACTTTTATTCTAAGTGTGCCACGTTCTGCTGATTTCCTATTGGACTGATGGCGAGTTTATTTAAGCAGAAGTAAGAAGGGTATTTGAGTTTTACACTCGGTTTGCCATGAATACCAAAAAGCTGCTGTCGTTTAGTATGGACAATGGTTTCATCTTCTCCTCAGGGTAGGGCATGAAATCCCCAAGTGGCATTGTGCTTTCCTCCACACCAAATACACTCGGGCGTTACTGGGACGTCAAATTTGACGTTTGGAATCGCATTCTAGCCGCTACAGTATTAGGTCGAATATGTGGCCCTCTTGAGGCTGCTTGCAAAGCTGGATTTGTCTACTCACTAGCAATGT